ATCTCCTGTTACCGAGTCCCACAATAAAACAGCTTAATCTGAATTTCTGCATTTGTATTTTTGCCTTTCTTTACTAACTGACCTCAGTGTGAACCAGGTGCACTGCATAAACAGTGTGTTTATATAATGTGATCGAGCAGACACGTCTAACTCCACGAACACAAGATGATGGCAACTCTGGGGTTTCTCTTCCATAAAGAGATTTCATTTAAATGGATCATTTCTCTCTGACTCTTCCTCTTCTGTTGCACCTGAACCAGCTGACCGACAGCTGATATTATAGCACGTATGGAAATACATTAATGTCTATGTGTTCGCCAGTTCCCTGAAATGTCCAGTTAAATATTTCACGTCCATTCCTGTGGAAATAACTGTTTAAATAAAACTATCACGGTTTAGTCACAAAAAACACTCGACACTGAAGAATCATTTGCTGTTGTGTTGTAATCTGTCACACTGATGCAAAAATGTATGACAACATTGGCATCGTGCTGGAGATGATGTCAAGATTGTAAAGATGAGCCTTAAATGGCAACATTTAAGGCTGACAACATTTCTTGTTAAATGTGCGCACACGCTGAAATACAGTCATCGAACGATCATGAACAACTTTTTAAAACGTCTAAAAATTTGAATTTGAACCTCGACATCTTTTCCACTGGAAATGATCAAAATAGGTTGTCCTATTATCAAAGGTCCATGATTCATTTTTAATGAACTTAATTACTTCTGCAGATGACAGCTTGTCCCGCTTACGTTATAGCTAAATCGTCAGGGGGCTCGGTCTATGACCCAGCATTGTTGAGATTATGGATTTTCTGTGAACTCTTTGTGTTGGTATGTTTTAGTTTTCTATTATTTAGTATTAATTCATTTATAGCATTGACTGTATGTTTACTTACGTTTGTTTCCATGTTGTCTGGTCCAGGTGTTTAAGTCATGTTTCCTGTTTTATTTTGAAGGTCTTGTGTTCCATGTTCAGTGTGTCTAGTTTTGCTTCCCCTGTGGTGTCATGTTCAT